TATTAACCCCAGCCCTTGGTAGCATGAATGGCAGCTGGTGAGTGACTCCCTCTTCACTGACATCGCAGGGAGCGTGGATGCCTAATTTCCACACTGCTGAGGTTCAGTGAATTCCACCCACAGGGGAACCAAGGCAATACAAAGCCCCTCTCCTTCCTTTCTCCACTTACGGAAAGCCCAGACAGAGCCACAGATCTTGTGCCCAGACTCAGCCAAACTTCCACATCATGCACTTCTACCACCTCAATAAGCACGGCTGGTAAACTGCCAAGCATTGGTTTTCCTCTCAAGGTGCCTCTCCTGCTGTAAGTAGGAGCAACGTGTGGATTGAAAGCAGCACTTGCTTCAAACTCTGCCTCTCCAAAAAAAAGCTGAACGGAGTTGTTTAATTTATAAGCTAAAAAAAGAAAAAAGCTAATTGTATGGGTTAAATTAAGTAGGACTTTCAACGGAATTACTGTTACAAAAGCTCAAAGTTTTTAGTCCCCGAGGTCAACATTCTCAAAACATTCTCAAGCAGTTATCTTTAAGAAACAGCTATCTCCCTGGAGTTGGAAACAGTTTCTCAGTGACCTTTACTTTTAATATGATATCCCTAAAGGGGTCATAGCAGGAGAAGCCCTCCTTCAGTATGGCTCTCTTGGAATGAAGCCACTCAAGAGTCAGAGGATATAAAGGATCCTTGGGCCAATGCAAAAGTATAGAGCTTTTGTGCAGATGGTCCTGGCTTCCAACTGGTCCCTCCAGATCCACTGAGCCAATCCAACAATTAGAGTAAAATATTCAAAAAGCAGAACCTCACAGAGTTTCTCTCACCCATCTGCTCCTACAGACTCTGCAACAGGAGGAAATCTGGCTTGGGTAACAGAAGAAGGGCAAAATGGATTGAACAGGGCTCAGAAAGGGCCAGAAGTTCAACCCAAAATGCAACCAAACTGTGAGAGTGTTTGGAAAGGGCTGGAAAAATACCATACATTGGAAAAATATAAAAAGTCCCAGCTGTAGAGAGGTTTAGGGATCTGAAAGCCAAAGCAAGAAAAGCCAAAAGCGTGGTTTCTTCTCCTGCATGACTTCAGAAAGCAAAATAAACTCTCTGTTCAATGAAATTAAGAGTCCCTTTGTGTCTCTTATGAGTAATGTACACACTTATGTGTCCTGAATGGTCACACTTTTAGAAATATTTCTGTATGAGCGAATATTTATTCCTGCCAAAACATTTTACATTACTGGACAATAGAAAATCTTCATAGAACGTGTATTTTGGGCTATTTCAATTTTCTACCATTGTCTTATGTAATATAAAGCCTCTCTGTACCGTACCCTCCAGGTTCTTCTTAAACAATCAGGTTGGCTTAGGCAACTCCAGTGCCAGCCAAATTCAACACAGATGTTAAAGCGACATCAATCTCCTTTGAACTAAACCTTCCATGCAATTTGTATATATTTGAAGGAGGAATCTTTTTGCTTGAAAGGTTGCTAGTGCTTAATGTAGCTTGCATTGCCTTTTTAAAGTAAGACAATCAAATCACATAATGTAATTCATCTACATTGTTAGCCTTCCCCAAAGAGAAAGCACAGGCTATACACTGAGGCTTGAGAGGCACATGAGAGAAAAAATTACCTTTAAATTAGCATTAGCATATAGCAGAGGAGGGAAGGAAAAGTTAAGAACTGCTCACTATAAAATATACACTGGATGGTGGCAGGTGCTTGTATGTTTTACAGAGGACAGTGAAGCATGTTTGGCATGGTAGGGTTAACTCCTGTAATCAGGACCAGCGGATCACTCTAATACTGAAAACAGCACTACCAACTCTCCCCACTTTATTACCAGTCTTGACATACTACATTGTTTTCTTCAGCTTGGCTCCAGAAATAAAACAATTTCATGAAAATTCAAAAATGAAAAAACCTAAACTGAGGAATCAAGTGTGGAACCTGGAAGCTTGGAAAGCTAAATGGCGAACTACCACTTTTTGTCTCTCAGATTTTAGTATCTCACAAATTCTAGTTAAAACAGTTTCATAATTTGCTTGGACTTCACATATGATTTATGAACACAAGGCAAGGTCAATACCAACCACACCATTAGGGCCGGTGGACTGCTACAGCAAGAACAGCACTCAATTTTAGAGCTGGTGCTCCGTGTGTTTGATGTCTGTATGTTGGTGAGTTCCTGAGAAAAATCCCCATTTTTCTTTGGCTTGGATCCCCAGCCCCCAAACAAACAAACTCCAATTCTCTTCAGCCACAAATGCCAAAACCCCCACTCCTTTCAACAAAACCAAAAAAATCCCTGTGTTCGCCACATAAAAACTGCTTGAAGAGGACTGAGGCATGATATTAGTGAATTTAAAACCTCACAATGAAGATCAGTGTCTTTGCTCTGCTAGGGAAGAAAATTGCTTTGATTTACAAAATAATATCACCAAGGACTGCACAGCAAGTATTTCTTCACACGTGCAGCGGAGAGTGTGCCGTGTCCTTTCTGCTCAGTAGAGAGCCAACACGAGCTTTAACATTACAAATAAATACTTGCAGATCCCAAAGGTCCCTATTTTTGGAGAAGGGGTGGCCGTATTAGAATTCCTAATTTAGCAAAAGTGACTTCATCTAGACTTAAGCACAAAAGAGGTGTTAAAGCCCTGACATGTAAGGAAGAGTGAAATTTCAATGGCTCCTGTGGCTTTTGATCAAACTTTTAGTGTGTGAATTCAGTGATAAGCACACCCATTGACTTCAAAGGTAAAAGTTGGAGCCCTCAGACTCAAAGGTCAAAGAACATAGAAGCTGCAATGGCAAATCTTCTTTATCACCTTATTCAATTGTGTCTAGATTTTATTCCTCACCTTGAAATATTTTATTAGTAGCTATAAGAAATGTGAAAATATATATTAGATTAATTCTTGTAAATTGAACATACATAGCTTAAGTTAAAAAACTGGGTCTTTACAAACATTCGAGGATGGCTTCAGCAGGGAATGCAAGGTCTTGCTGCCGACAAAGGAGTAGTTTCTCTTCTTTTCACAAAACATAGTAAATGAATCTTTAATACTAGATGCACATGATTTCTGGGGAGAAGGCATGAACTCTCAGTCCTCATGATGAAATAGCGCTTAGTCTTTGGCACTTTCATGCAGAGCTGCAGCTTGGAGGGAAACTTACGATAGCTAATTTGACCCTGAACATCAACTCACATGTTTTGGGGAAAGAAAGGAGTAAACTTCAAGCTGTTTTGATAACATGAATATAAGATAACACATATCCCTCAAGCAACAACGACGTGCCACTACAATTTCTTAAGATGATTTTCTGCTAGACTCAAGACCATTTGATTTTCAGAGAATAAACCAGACCCTGGATTGAGAACCCATCCTAAAATTACTTGACTAAAATTCTTAGTTTCACCACACTTCTTGGAGACAAAGCTGAATCTACACTAATGGTGAGAAACAGGCAACAGAAAACTTCTAAGGTACGCATAATGCAATGGATATCACATTATTTTTCCTCGGTGTCTCAATTCTTTCATTTTGTAGGTCTAGCCAAATATGAAAACATTAAACACAATCTCTGAGCTCAAAGCCACTTCCAAAACTGCCAAGTATAAAATTGTTACTGAGCCGCTCTGTTCTGTTTATCACATTAAGATACATTTTTTTGATGAAAAAAAATGCTAGATTGCAAGTGTAACATAATAGAACCAGCAAGCACTGCCAGCAGGTCTGAGGAAGAGAGAATAATTCAGAGATATTGTCATCTGTAGGCCAATTTATATTGTCAGACAGCAGGTTCACATTAGTCTCTGATGTCACTGCAATAATGGCATAATATAACGATTGAGCAAAGAATACCTGTGGGGTATAGCTATACAGTGCGGTATATCTGTACTTGTTAAGGCATTTCAGGATTCATTCAAAGCAGAATCAGAAGAAGCAGAAGACCGCGATTAAAAGAAAAGTGAGAAAATGGTGCTCATAAAGACATCTGAATATTTTAGGCCTTGTTTTGTGGTGATGAAGCAAGCACAATGTTGTATTCCATTGATTCAGTGGGTTCATGATTAAAATAAACTAATGTAGCAATTTAGGGGTTTTGTGCTTCTTTTTTTTTTTTTTCCCTCTAACAAGAAAAAAGCTTTTTAACAGTTTCTCACGGCAGGCATAATGTGCATCTGTGCTCTGATTTACTGCACATGCTGCCTTCTCTAGCATCATGTTAAGTTAGGGTATCAGCATGGTAGGTCACACAGTGGGAGTGACCTTTTGCTAATCACTACACATCAGTTACTACTGGCACACAGCTCATTACTAAGAAACCCTCCAACTAACTGGCTTTCAAATCCGCTCACACTTTGATTTTTTTTCCCTTTTCTTTCGTTCTTTTTTTTCCCCCAGACTAAAGATTATACTTTTACATAAAAGCTTCTGTTGTGTAATTTTGTCAACTAGGGTTCCAAAGTCAAAAAGGCACCCAGTTAATTTTCTGTGATTATAAAAGGAGCCTGAAAATTCATACCGAAGGTAGGCCTGTAATCTTGGGTTTCATTAAAAAGGTCAGAACATTTTTACTCACCACCTATTATTAAAATGTTTGAGGGTTGCCATTAATTTGATTTTTCAGGACACAGAAATCTCACTGGAAATTAGAATGTAATCCTGCTGTTTCTTTACTGACACTTTTCATAGGGCAGGATATGGCTGCGGGGACTAAGAGCTCTCCTGCAATTTACAATTGGTTACTTTGGACAAATGGCAGGTGACTAATGCAAGACAAACTGTTTGCACAACCTGGGAGCACTGGGTTTAATTTCAGTTTCTGAAAGAGGGGAGAAAGTGTTTCTATTGACGTTGAACCGCGAGCTGTCCCCTGCCAATACATCTGCCACATTTAATACACAACGCCCCCCGCCCTGACAATGTGATTATTAGAGGTACAGAATTCAATAGCTTAAGAATACAAAACATAGCTGGAGCAAAATGAAATGTTTCTTAACTCACCGGCCATTTGCTGAATGCCGCTGAAGGCACCCAAGTTACTGGAGGAAGTTGCTTGCTGCAGAAGCTGCAAATTAACAACACAACACAGCAATCTATCTGACATTAATGTAACAAATGAAGATAAAAGTAACATGAGCTATCATTTCACATTTTGACTATTTATTCTTTCCTTTACATTTATATAGTCTCTTGCTTCTGTCTATTGTTGGAATGAACATCCCTAGAGCCAATGCTGTAAATCCATATTAATGTCTAATCTCTATTAAGAAACACAGAGACACAAGGGAAACTCAATAACATTGCTGCTTTAAAACAATTAATCAATTTATTCTTTTTAACAACCAGGTGTTAAATCTATTTAAACCAACATAGCGTGACTAATTACAACCCTCTGTTGTCTAGTAGTTACCATAACTCATCTCTGTCAATCACGGTCCATGCTCCCCCACCCCCTTAAATTCAGTTTTTTCTTTATTATCTTTATGAATTAAGCACACAGATCCTCATTAGACTGGTATTTGTCTATAAGAATTTAGCCTATCTCAGTATTAATTAGCCTACCTCAGTACTAGTATACATTTTTAATTGCCAGGTAAATTGCTGTTTATAAATATATCACTATACCAAAGCATTGTGTGCATACAAATTGTGTATTTATGCATACACAGTACATATATATGGACACATCTATTTAACGTGGAACTATCTGGAATTCCCCAAGTTATCCAAAAGCTGCTCAAGAAGACCTCTCAACTCCAGACCCATAAAAAGCAGAGGGTCCCTCTCTCAACTGTGCTGCAGGGGAGTCTCTCTTGGCCACCCAGGACCTAAGACCTGTGGATTTCAGATTTCTCCAACAGGGGCAGCAGCTAACGTCTCTTTCTCATCTTCCAAATGGACCAAGGAAAATACCATTTGAAATTTATGAGAAACAAATTGCTTTCCCCTGCCATCTTCACTTTCTCTACAAGGTAATATGAACCACGCATTTTTAGCACTGACAGGACCATGCATTAAAGCAGAAGCCATTTCCAAATAAAAATGTGGAAAATTAGAGGACTGAACTCCAATAAACTAGCTTAGAGGCTGTACCATACAGATATGGTCCCTACGGTGTTCAGCTGCCTCCCTGTCCTCCCCTAAGGAAGAGCTTAAATTTTATTCCACCTATAAAAACCCAGTCTCTAACATTCAAAAGAACACTAAAACTAATGGAATCAAATTTTATTTCGCAGGACAAGTAATCTTTAAGTGCTTGCCTTGGACAACACTGACATCTTGAAATGTTTATTCAAATTCTGTTCCTTGTGTATCTTTAGACCATGTGATAAACTATAGCTTTTTTTATAAAGAAGATGACATGCTACATGTCCTGGAGGACTTAGCAATTTATCACAGGGGGTTTACTATAGCTGATTTAGCCTGGTTCTAAAATGAGTATGTTATAATATAGCCACTGCCTCTGAAATGAACTTACAGCTAGGTATTGTGGTGTGAGTCCTCCAAGACCTGTGAGGTTTCCCCAAGTGGCAGTATTGAGCTGTTGCATCTGCTGTGCCAACTGCTGCTGCAAACGCCGCTGCTCCTTGTCCTTTTGGGTATCGGCAAACTTCACCACGATTGGCGAAGAGCAGCCCTGTGGTTAGACAGATCGGGAAAGACAGAAGCGTTAAATCACACCGAGTCACCCCCGCATCATGAGCTCAGCCATGGCAATGACCTGATCGCTCACCCTCTCTTTGTGACTGGCACACTAAGACCGCATGGACCAAGATTTTCAGCTTCTTAGGAAAAGAAGCTATGGAGAAATTATTGATTCCCCAGTTCTTTTTATAAAGCACCTTTCCTCAGGCTCTCTTTTCCTTCCAGCTATCAAAACTGCTGCCAGAAACAGCAAAGTATACCAGTCCTCTTTAATTAAGCTTCACAGCTGATGAGATGGATGTGATGCTTTGTCTGCAGTCTGTTTTCAAGGCATCGCCAAAGGGAGAGGTGTCCAACCTCCCTGCTGCCAGGGACCACACAGCCAACATCACCCTGCCACCACGGTCTGGCTGCGTGGTCACGCTCGGTGCAGCTGGCTTGTGTACCCTACGGAAACAGACTGCGAGCAACCGCTTTACTGCAGCGCCCATCATCAGCGGGTCACCGGTCCTTTGCATATCAAGGACTCCCAGTCCCAAGTGAGCACAAAGGGTGATGCTGCTAGGACAATTCACCCACCTGCGGTCCGCTCCCAGGCAAGCTTTGTATCAAGCACCCTTGAGATGTGAATAAAGGGCAGGATGCAGACCAAAAATGAGTAGTTTTGGTGATAGTGGCCCATTCCTGATTGCCACCATTTCTTCTACTGCGTCTATGAGCCGCTTGTTACATGATATGGGAGGGATGTGAGACACCTTACAAACTAGGGAGGCTGTAAGAAAGAACTAGTGATCTGGTCCGCAGCCTACTCTTCACCCATGTCTGAAGGACCCTTGAGAAGAGTAGGAGGTCATGGACCAGGTGGATTTTGGAGGTAAGCTGGATATTTCCCTTATATTTCAGGTTGGGTATTCCTGGGCAACGTAACTCAGAGTATGAGAAATGTGAATATTAAAGATGTCTCTGTTGCTCCCATTCTACTTTTTTCCTCTCACTAAGATATAAAAATATGTTTTTGTATCTTAACCTTTCAAGTCTTCATTTTTTCAAATCAAGGAAGCAAACTATATACTGTAATGATTCACTTCTTCAAATTAATTCAAGCATTATGTGAGTCATGGAAACTGTCAATCCATTTCCAACTTCATAGGATCCAATGAATAACTTCCCTCCACCCACCATGCTCTGTTATACTAATTTCTTACTTAACTTCAATCTGAACACAATAGCAGGAGTGAAAGGTGACTCAAGTTTTAAAGAACACAGCAGCACTTTAGCCAAAGTGTATAGCATGAGATGGGAAGTGGGGTTATACCTAACCTAACTCTTCCCATGGCTGCTCTCACAACACTGAACATCTTCAGGAAAGCTCCTTTCCTCTATTATTTGCAAAAAGCAGCTATGTATCTTTTCTGTGAAGAACATCACACCAGGACAAATTATAAGTATATTCACAATCAAGGGACGAAATGATGAAATAAACCACAATAATAAAATCTCTTGTATGAAGATCTCCCATCAATACTGGGCCTTTAGAATTATCTTAGAAAATCATCACTTGTGATTTATTGTTCCACCTCCAACTCCTTTCTTGTGTGTTTCATTGTAAAAATGTCTTTCAATGTTTCAGTGAGGAAGAAAGGAGATATGTACCACTCCAGCAATCAAACAAAGATTATGAAGAAGTCTGCTTGTTACACAATTACCTCTCCCCAGTGATTTTTATACTAATATTAAAAACAAGACCCTTAAAAAAAAAAAAAAGAAAGAAAGAGGAGCTGGAGGTGGAGGGTGTGAGAGACATTTTTATGGTTTCTCAAATAAAAAACCCAAGCTGTTTCTATTTAATGAGAGGTTTCATAGCACTGGGCTAAGAACCACCAGGACTTACTGCATTCTACCAGACGTACAGGAGAATCAAGACTGTTTCCAAAGAAATAGAAATGAATTTCAAAGGAAGAAATATTATATGGCTATTTCAGTTCTCAGTTCAGTAGCTCAGCACTCAACACTACAGCTGACATCAAATTTATGAATGCTTAAATGTCAGTAAATTGTATAAAAACAATATCTCTGCAATTTATGAAACTATAATTCATTTTTTCACTTTCTGCTCTATATTTCATCACTTCATCATTTTCCAGAGAGCAAACATTCTGAAGACTGAAATTATATGTAGCAAGTGGCTCTATATGAGAAAAGGGTTGTTATTGTTGCATCAGATTTACTCCATGATAACAAATTAGTGTCTTCTACTGGTGCTGCATTTAAATGTATTAAACAAACAAAAAAAAATCCACAGAAATGAGATAGAAGAGCAAAAAAACTCTAGAGCAGCAATCATGTTTTTAAAATGAGTTGATTTAACCAGGTCAGAAAGTCAGGTGGAAAAAGTAGTAAGAGAATTCATTATTCTAGGGGCGTGTTCATCTGGACATCAACATCCCCATTGTTCTTTCCCAGCCCCCTTTGAAAATTCATCTTGGTCAACGATGTGTGCCAAAGAACTGAAAATAATGAAATCAGAAACAAAAAATCTGCAGTAATGGGGTTGAAACTTAGCTGTGTACTCCATATTGTCCCCCAAGCCCACTTTCGTTTGCAAAAAAACATGAAACAAAAGTGTCTAAGGACCACTGTTTCAGGCTGAGAGTTGAGATTTAACACTAGCTATCCCAAGTTAACTTTTTCCTAAAGGAGTATTGGCAAAAGCAAGAAATTTATTTTTGCATAAATGGTGGTTTCTGTTTTATGCTCTTCCATTTTCTATCTTGAGAGGAAGCTCCCAGCACATACAGAAGGGGCATCTCTTCCTCATTCGATGGCTTGGTATCTCCATGCCATTTAGAGCCATTTACTTCCCAAAAGCTGGTGCTGCCTTCATTTTACTTTGTGTTGTCAAGACAGCAGGTACTGACACTGCTGAGTCCCCCACCCACAGTGCTGGGGAGTGGACTGCTTCTCTCCAAGAAAGGACTCTCAGTCTAAGCTCAACTGACACTAAGACCCAGAGGTTCAAAGTGCAGAACATTTGGAATCGCATTGGCAATTCAGGGATCTCAGTGATGACGTCTCTAAAGGTGTTGAGAAGTATTTTGATCCAAGAGTAGCTATTCTACAGCACTAATGCCAACAGGAGTATCACGTCAAAACGCAGCCTCTTTTGGAGTACTGCATACAACAGAAGAATGGGAGAATTTGTCTGGGAGGGGAAACTCTCTTTAGTGTTACCATCTTCTGAAGTAGAGCTGTGTAAAATTAATTTTGCTAGACAGAAAAATACATTAAAACACATGGAAAATATAGGTAAAACACAGTATTACCAATAAACATTTCCTTTTTACTTGGAATCAAACCCAGCAAAACATACAGATCTGAATTAATGGAGCAGTGCATGGCAAATTACTACGAGTATTATTTCAGAGACTCAAAGTGGCATTTTTTCACAATATACTGTCAGACTGCATATATTGTATAACATCAGCTTTCTAGTAAAGATAATTTCAATTATTCTCATCTCATTGGCAGATTCTCATCTAAAACTGTATACTCAGGGTCTAAAAATGCATTGCACTGAAAAGAAAACACATCGATTATAAAAGAAGCTCAACCAAATTCAAACGTGATGTTTGGAAAGACAATAGCTTTGCAATGCCGATACCATTGTAGTATACAGGAAACAGTTAGTGACAGTTTCATGCACTGGCTTGATTTTTATCTTTTCCTCCTTCTCCTCTCTCCACCCTCCCACCCCTGGTCTCCCCCCTTGGCTCATTACACAAAGCAGCTCAACGACATGACGCAATAATGATTGTTTAGCACCCAGCATGCTTTGGGAGACTAGAGCATTGCAAAGAAAAATCACTGAGAGAGAAAAAAAAAGTAAAATCAAAAGGTCCTGGTGGAAAAATAAATAAAAAAAAGAAACAAGTGCACATAACATCAATGCCACCTCTGAGAAAAATCATCACTACACGAAGATACAGTATACATAATACAGTATAACATGCACTCTCCAGTAAGCTAGAAGATCCAGAGTAAGTAAAGACTTCATACTTGTGCGGTTTTTTGTGCAAAATTCTGAAAGACCATGACAAAAATCACAGACTGAAAAAAGTTTTGAGATTGCCAGACAAGCTGTGGCATTTGATAACCACTCCACTGAATGGATCGTTAGCCTGCGGCTATATTCACATTAAGTGAACAGGTTTAAAGTTTTGTGTTGCTCATCATGGTAAAATACGAGGCCGTAGAGGCAGTTTGGGAGGAAATAAAGAGTGTTGCTTGTGAGGGGCCAGCCATGACAGTGCTCTGTAGGAAGTGCCACACTTCGATATTCTCTGTCATCATTAGCATTTTTATTGGCTACATGAAGAAGGAGAAATTATATTAACTTAAAAAGAGATTCTATTTGCAGAAAAACACATCCACTAGTAACTCATCATGGCCAGGTTAAATCTCTTGAGTTTTTTCTCAGAGCAGCGCAAACCACAACACTTAAAAATCTATTTAAAAGAAACTAAGATTTTTCTTTGGAGGGGTGTGTGTTAAAATCGAAGGTAATTTACTCATCAGATATACTCTGAGTACGACTGAGGAGTGGTATTCATGGCATTTTTATTTTCTGCTGAATGCCACTGAAAACAAGATCAAGAGTCACGTCTGAATACCACACAGCAACCTTATGGTGCGCTTTCAGGTCATTAAGAAAAATAAGCTTCACAAAGACAGGCAGAGTGAGTTGGCAAAAAGTTTAAATCTGTGATTGTCATGTGTCTGATCTGATCCAGGAGAGCATGGCTTTACCATTCGCAATCATTTGCACAAAGAAAACAAAGAAAGGGCAAATGATACAGTACTGTACCTCCATGGTCTGAGACTGGTGCATGGCTTTGATTGCATTCTGTGCCATTGCCCTTGTAGAAAATGTGACAAACGCACAGCCTGTGGGAACAAGGGGACAGGGAGCAGGAAAGACAAAAAACAACAAGACAAAAGGGTTGGACGCTTGTTAAACCAACACAGTCTACGAGAACGGCCACAAGACGACACTGTTCTCAGTAGTACATAAAAATAAACAACTTCTCTAGTTTATTTATCAACAGTGCTGACTTGCTAATCTGACCATAGATGAAAGAAAAAAACTTAGGTGGGGATGGGTGAGAAGAAAGGGGTTTTTCCTTTAATTTTTTTGTTTGTTTGTTTGTTTTTGTTTTGTTTTGTTCTTTAGCCACAGGGTTTGAAATAAGTAAAGCTTTTATGCAGACTTTGGATTGCATAGTTTAGTTTATTCAGACCATGCATTAACAATTGTTTGATATGGCTTTTGTGAAGTTAAATTGTGGATAGTGACTAAATGACTGGCATCACTGGCAGCTGAACTAGGAATTTAAAGGAGTCCATAAAGTCACGTACTTCCGTGATGCACCAAGAACAACCATACAAATAATGATGAGGAAAAACTCCACTGCCTACCCTCTGACTAAGTGTGAAAAGACTCAGACAAAATTCAGTAATGTAGGTGAAATCCCAACATTTAAGAAAATAACATATTAAAAATAAAAATCTTTACAATTTTTGTTTCTCCGAGTCCCAGTTACAAGTATAATTCTTCGATCTGTGAAAGCTACCACCAACTCGAACAATTCTGAAGCTACGTGCATGAATAATGAAAAAAACTACTTTTCTCCCTCCTCAGCCTTGTAAATCAGAATGAAAAGCCAGGAGGCTAATGCTTGGGCTATTTTTCTACCCTTTTACTGTTGTCAGTCATACCTACACTGGACATGGTACAGGTCAACTTTTTTAGTGCATGACTCACTGCCCTTTTGACTAATAAAAACATTGCCTTCTGAGATTTACATTTTATTCTTCATGCACCCTTGGGCATCTTAAAGAAAAAGACTGTGAAATTAATGTAGATTCAGTCTGATTTTGTAGTAATACCATGGCACACTAAAAGCTTAGCTAAAGCAACACAGACTTATTTCACTTGTGATCTCTAATGACTTTAAAAGTGCATTGATTTTCAGCTCCCTTAGCCTTGCACAGTTTGAACTTAGGTTTCAGAGAATAATTTAGCGTTCCACTCAATTTCCTCAAAACATTATTATTATTACTACTTAAAAAGATTTCCAAATGAAGCAAATCTAAGCACTGAGAGGCTAAAGCATATTGTCATTTCGGAGCTAATGCATGAAAGCTACATTCTGGCATCAAAATACAATATTGTTGCCCCTGTGGCCAATGGGCAAAATAAACCATTTTGCAATCCAACAAGCAACAGATTGTTTGGTTTATGCAAATCAATTTGAGGCATAAAATACCTTTTCATTTTTGCTCCGTGTGTACCTGGTAAGATTATCAAGTCAAGACTGTATTCACATTTTAATCAAACAACAGTAAGAGAAAGCAATGCCTGATCATTACCCAAAAGCACTACATCTAGTCATGAAAATAAAGTCAATGCATTTTTGCATCATGCAGTATTTTTTTTCCTCTTTAATGTAAAGGCCCTCGATAGAAGAGAACCTAAGCTGTCTTACGTACCTCTGACTGATAAGTGAGCATGATAAATCAGAAGTCAGAATTCTTTATTGATGGCAGCGTTGCAACTCTAAGTATTTCTGAAATAACACAACAGCTGATGTCTTCTTACTGCTGCTTAGCCACACTACGTGTTGCTACACTATTCTTATTCAGCAACAAATTTCTGTCAAATGAAATGATGTAACAAAACCGCTTTCTATACGGCAATCTAGACAAAATTTGCAGTAGAAGGGTAAATAAACTACAGTACCTCTGCTAGATTCCATATTGCTGCTGTGCACTAAAATTAAAGAGGCCCAAATTTACCATCAGTCTCAAAGTAATCTCTCTTAAAACCATTTCTGTTATTGTCATTAACAGAGGAAACAACACCAAGGGTTTTCATTTATCGTCTTGCAGATTCAGTGGGGGATGAGCACAAATAGATATACTGGAGGGCAGGCAAGAAACCCCATACAGAGCCCTGAATAATATTGTTTATAATGGTCAAGAAACTGCTTCATTCACTTCCTTTGCTCTCATTATCCAGGAGTGTGTACCAGAGTGACAATTACTGAATGGAGGTTTAGAATGCATAAGAAGCATGTAAAATGTCAACAAAAATCAATAAGACACAGTTTATGCATTTATCACAATTTCTACCCAGCAGTACTGCTGTAAGTAACTTACTGAGAGATGTTGCAATTAGCAGGTCTCAAAAGAGATGTGAATCAGCAGAGAAATAAAGCTGTGCTCCTCTCAAGATAAAGCAGACTCCCCATCCCTCCCTTAAGCTTCATTCTCCTTTTAACCACAAAGCTCAGCTGTTGGGGACTCCCAGTGCCTAACGCTACCGCGAAACCTCGTTCCTCAGCCCAAACCCATTTGCGTGGATCCCGTTGCCTTTGTCGGGGAGTGAAAAGACCTATGCAGCAGATCTCTGTGAAGTGCCATACAGCAAGCTACCAATTTAAAAGAAACTTGTTCTCCAGGCAAGGGGAATGCCTGATGAATGAGGTTATGTGGCCTGAATATGAGCATTCAGAAACAGCATTCCACAGAGAAGACTGGACTGCATTTTAATTATGGTTTGCCGGCCAGAGGCTACAAGGTTAGGTCCCCTTGTTATCTCCAGGCACCAGGCCATTTCCCACCAATGGGCAGTGGCCATTTGCACAGTAAATACCCAATTTGCCTCAATAACCAAGGTAAAAATTCAGCAGACCACCTTATTTCTAAATTATTTGATAACCTAGACCTCCAGTTGTTACCATCAAACACCCCAATTAAATGCTAGCTAATTTAAGCATCTTTCCAGATACAGCTACATGTATCCACATTGAAGGGTCATTTTTTCAGCTACCAAACCTGGACACTCACACAAAATTTGTGTATTTATTACGTGTGCATATATCTTTTATGATGTGTGAGCATGAGATTCTTTCCTTCGTAACCAGACTGCCACAGTGGAGGGGAGCTAAGCCTATACCATAGGACTTAGATTTAGTCCATTTAATCACTGAACTTGCATATATAATTTAAATATTCTGAAAAGCTGTTCTGAGATGCTTGTATTCTCTGCAGCAGCTGATGGCAGCGCCTTTAACTGTCTATATGGGGCACATATGCGCTTCAGGAGGATGGTTTCTTTGGGCACCTAGAATTGAATCGGAAGCTGATGTCTAAGAACACTGGATTTTACCTGTTTAAGCCAGATGAGTTTTGCCTGAATCATCCTGTACTCTTGCTGCAGCAGTTTCTGAGAGGTTGGGAAAACCTTTTTCAGCATCATACTCTCACTCACTCTATCTCATGGATACAGGTGGTCTTTTGGAAACATACTACCAGCTTCAGGACTGTAAATCACAATTATAAGAGGACAAGACTAACCAGATTTCATGCCTCGTGGTGCAAGAAAACAAGAAAGATTCCCGTGGCCTCTCACCTCATCCTACGTAACGCTGCAGGGATTGTAGTGTTGTGGGCCAAGGTCTTCTGAACCAACAGCTACAAGCAAACTATTTCTGTTCTACCATACTGAGTCCTGATACTTCAATTACTCCCTATGGAGCTCTCCGGGAGAAAAAACGTGGAAAGGGGGAAATTTCTACAGCTAATGTGTTGAAATTACTTCATTTTGTACCATCAGCTACCTAACCTCACACACAAAAAATCCTTCTGTAAATATGGCCAACCTGCAAGTCACCTTGCAATTATTTATCACCTCTGGTTTCAAAATGTCAGGGATCACTAACAGAAACAAAAGCGGAGGGAGGAAGAAGGTCTGCGAGTTTTAGCTGCTCCTCCAAGGCTGCTTTCTAACCTCCTACACCAGATAAATGATTGACTGGGGAAAGGCATCTCAAAGTAATTTCCTCCTGCAGGCAGAATCAGAGGGAGGCACCCAGCCCTGTCACAGAGGAGATTTTGGAGCACATTATCACATTTGGCATCTTGACTGAGAGAACATGTAAACTCACAGGGTTGGTCCTTATTCCCTTCCCACCCTAAAATGAAAAAGAATTTTGAAGGGGCTGCAAAATTAGAAAAGCATCCTCCTCGCCCCGTGCTGCCCAAAACACAGGGCTCGCTGCTCGAGCAACTGAATTATTTGAAATATCTAAAAATGCTCAGCACTGCCCCATTTCACTCATTTCTTCTCATCTCAGGCTTTCATAGACTGTTTAAAAACATTCAGTTGGTAGTTCACGCACAGTCTAACACAACATCAATACTTGCAAGCTGCAAGTGAAATAGAACGCTTTTAAGTATGGAGGCCTCAAGGTAAGGCATCTAATTTCATGCCTATGCAAGGAACCTCCCACATAAAAATACTGTGGTCTTTTAAAGCCCCCAAACCCTCAATGAAGCCAAAAAGAGATGCAAAACCCCTAGACATTTCTGAATCAAGCCTATAGTTAAAAATGGAAGTTAAAAAAAACATGGCTTTAAAGGAGTTGAAAGACAGATGTAATATATTTTTTTAAAATAATATATATAGTGACGCCTCTGACACAGAAGAAGGCTCAAGAGATTTTCAAAGTCATCCGAGCAATCGCAGCACTACGTATGGTGCTTCACAGCTGGTGGTGTAATGGTTGCACTACAGCCTCCTATTTCACTGTAAACAAGGTTTTTCTTCACTTTCTGTGAAGAAACAATTGTGAAAAGCTGCCAAAATACTCCTGCAAGAAGTATTTGGGATCCTCTGAGATGAAAGCCTCTATTTAAAGGAAAGATAAAGCTTAAATAAAAAGCTATGGCAATGGAAGCATGATAAAAATAAGCTTTAGTTGTGTTAAAATATTTCTAGCTGAGACTGCAAAGTAGACATTCCCTTATCTACACTGTGCTAATACAGCACAGTCTGAAGGAAGGACCAGCCTGGGAAACAGCCTTCTAATGAAGACATCACA